CTCCCCGCCAATAAAACAAAAGCCAAACCAGACCAGACCAAACCAAAACCTTATTGTTTACTTGTCCATTGTCATTTCTGCCCACTAGATGGCACCCCAGCCAGGCCCGGCCAGTTGGCATGGCCTGCACATTCACGGCTCTTCCGTGGCTGGCTGAGGACTCAGCATTCCACAGGATGAAATGGGTGACTTGATGTACAAAACCGAGGATCACCTTCCAGACCGTATGTACCAGCCTACGTGTCTTGGACAAGTAGCCATAGTACTATGCTCCAGCCGGCCTCACTTCCAGCAAATGATGATGTTGGGGTCATTTTCTAGTCGCTCGTCCAGTTCGTGGTAGCTCATGCCTGGTGGGGTGAGGGAGGCAAGGCCGGTCAGCAGCCTTGGCGTGGCCAGTCAGCCATCACCCCCCAGGCGGCCCTGCCTGCCTCCACCTGTCTTGCAGCAGATCTCGTCGTAGCTGTGACATCCTGTGTAAAGGCGGGCAGGGTGACTCCGTTCCTCCCGAGCCACCCGGACTGGATACTTCTGTAGTCTCCGGATGAGGTTCTTCATGAGCCCAAACTGGATCAGCTTCCTGAAGTGATGGTTGGGGAAGAGAGTTGATACCCTAGCCTAGCCAACCCTCTCCTTCAGTGCCTTATGGGCTGGAGTGATGACCTCCACGCTCACCATCTCCGGGAAACCTGCCTGGACTAGCAGGCCACAACACTATACTCATTGGGAATCTCTTGCTTCCTCTGGGACTCGAGGCTCCTCCGGGGAGACTCCCGACACTTCACCCCACCGCGCAAGCCTGAGAAGGACCCTCTGACCTCTCATCCACGTGTTGTAACTGTTGGGGGTGGCGGCCGATGAGGTCTCGCACAGTGGTGCCGGGGCTTAGACTGCAGTACAGCTGGAATACATCTCGGAGACTGGCCCTTTTGTGTCCTGTGGGTGCCAGGGTCAGCTTCCTAGGTGGCCTTGTCCTCCCCAGATCGGTCTCCCACAGGGGTTGCCACTACCTTGCTTGGTGACGTAGGACAGACACGCCTCCTGTAGGGTCTTGTCATCCACCAGGTCCTGGACTTTTGGCGTTGGGCAGTACACATTGGAATACTAGAACACAGCAAGGGGACACGGCCTGAATGATGTGCCTGGGAGTCTGGCTTGATCTGGCCCAGCCATATGGTTCCCATTTTACTTAGCTGTATCCCAGACTCACCTACCTGGAGGATGGATACCAGCGTCACAACACCATAGTACCTGGGGGAAAGAGAAAGGCTTAGTGTCCAAACAGCAGTCTTCCCGCCGCCATACTCGGGGTCCTTCGGCTCCCCTCTGACTGGCGGCCTATAATGGGCATAACTGATCTCCACTCACAGCAGGTTCTGGATGGCGATGCGCACCAGGTTGAGTTCCACGTCTGCCTCAGCAGAGATCTTCTGGACATGGCGGAATCCGTCAATGTAGGGCAGGATCTGTCAAGAGCAAGGCAGGGTCGGTCAGCCAGGGTGAGACACAGCTAGGGTTGTGGGCAGCCCAAGGAGATAATGCTCATGAGAGGGCCGGTACACCTGCTGTGTGGTGAGGTCCCACTGCGAGTTGAAGAAATCCTCTTTGTCCTTGGTGAAGACCGGCACATCATACTCCTGAGCCACAGGAGGGTCAGGGCGCTGCTCAATCACCTTCAAGTGGATGGTGTTGGATTCATCTGCGGGGGACCCCACCCACACCCTCAGTGTCGCCTTTCCCAAGGGGCCTCAAGCACTTCCTGACTCTCCTAGCATTAGCTGAGGCAGGCAGGTGGCTCCTGGGAGTATCATTCTTTCTGTTTTATGGAGCAAGAAACCAAGGCCCAGAGACAGGGGAAGAACGCAGCCACGAAGCAGTGCTGAAGAATTCTGGGGCTGCCCCTGTACCCCCATTATATACTGAACCCTCAGACATCACTGCTTCAACCCGTGGCTATTTCTCGCCCACCGGTCTGTCCAAGAATCTCGTTCTCCTGCAGTGGCTGTATTCATTTCTGTACTTTCCCGCCCTTCCTCTACCATACACTGTCCCAGGGGGGGCTGCCCATACCAATAGGTAGAGTGCACCGGCCGGAGGCATTGAGTTCTTCCAGTAAGATGGTCATGATGGGCACCAACTTCTGCTTGCTCTCCTCTGTGGACACAAAGCTGCTTTCCAGCTGGACAGAACATGGACAACACGGTTGAGTATACCCCAGAGCGCCCAGCTGTCGGCATTCTGAGCTAGTTGCTGGAGGCTGGGGGTTGGAGACACAGGACGTTTCCCCCAACTGCGCCTCCATGCACCCATGCCCATCGGGTTGCAGACCTCCAGTGTGGTCAAGTAGCCAGCCAGCTTTTTAACGATGGGTTCCAGGGCACACGTCTTGGCCTGAGCATCACACACGAAGCCCAAGTTGAAGAGGAGGGCATTGCGGCTGTACTTCTTGTGTTCGATGCACACGGGGCAGCCAATCAGCTTCTTCTCCATGGCTGTGCTGGATGGGCAGAGCAGAGTCAGCCCGCCCCCAAGCCAGTCTGGGACCCCTTCGCTCCCACCCGACTAAGGCCTCACACAGTGATCAGCTTGTTCTGCAGCTCGGGCTTGGTGATGATGTACACCTGGACCGTGTCAAACAGCTCGCGGGAGATGAAATCCTCAGGGACCTGGGGAGGGCAGTGACGAGAGTCCCTCAGTGGACACTGGGATGGTGATCCATCCCACCCCGGGCACAAGTCCTCTACTGTTTTCCTTCCCTCATCCACCCGTATACGACTCCTTTGTGTTTCCAAACACACGCTATGTTTTGGAAAGCTTTCCGGCTTTGGCACTCATTATCCCCACTGCCTGCAATACTCTTTCTACTCTCCCCTAACTTTTTTGTCTCTTTTGTTTGTTTGTTTTCGAGACAGGGTTTCTCTGCGTAGTTTTGGTGCCTGTCCTGGATCTCACTCCGTAGACCAGGCTGGCCTCGAACTCACAGAGATCCACCTGCCTCTGCCTCCCGAGTGCTGGGATTAAAGGCCTGCACCACAGCCGCCCAGCTCTCACCTAAGTTTTATGCATCAATTGTGTTTCAATCCAGTGATTCTCTTGGATCATCTAAACCTCTACAAGACCTGTCACCTCCCTGAATCCTATAGCCTGATTTGCCACAAAAACTGCTATGTGGCAAATCTCCTTCCCCTACTAGGAACCAGAGACCTGGCCCTGTGTATCCTCTCCATTCAAGGTTATCTATGAATGGAATGACATGCCTGGATGCAGCACAGGGACCCACAACCCCTCCAGGCAGCCAGCTGAGCTCCAGAGAGCATCCCTCTCCTCGTCCAGTCCCGGGAGTGTGGAAGGCACCTGATAGGTAATTTTGGGTCCCAGCGTTGGGTGGAATTCGCTGAAGAATATGCATTCGATGCGGCAGCTGCTGCCCATGGCGCTGACCGTCCCAAGTCTGTAGTCCCTTGTCTTTCGTGCGGTGGTCGCCTCCACCCCTGGGGACACCTGTCAAAAAGAGAAAGAGGCCTGGGCTAGGATAGAGAGGTTTGTGAGCGTAAACCAGAAGAGCCGTCAACTCAACAGCGCCTGCGCAGTGCGACTCAGAGGCGTGGCTGGCGCTGGATGGGATGGGAGGGGGCTTGTCCCAGGAAGTCTTGGGTGGGTGGACAACGCACCCGGAAGTGAAGCGCCTCCTTAACGGAGTGGTGGCGCGGCTGGCGGGCCCGGGGGTCCAGTTTATTTTGGAGGAAGTCACTGCGTCGAACCTGAGAAGCAGGTGAGGAAGGCAAATTCCTACCGTGGAGGTACAGCGTGCTAGGTGCACGTGGGGAGGCAATGTGCACAGAGATTCACGCTTAGGTAGGAAAGCAGCTGGGAACTACAATTCCCGTAGTGCTCCAGACCTTCCGTTCCAGCTAGTGATGACGTGCTGCATTCTGGGATTTGTAGTCTTACGTGTCCTTACGCATCCCACCTGGCCGGTGCGATCAGTACCACTTCAAATACAGGTGTTTGACAGGTAGACCCTGTTAAGTTGGGACTATTCTTGGTGCCGGCTTTGTTCTGCTTCTGTCATAACTCCGAAAAGAGGTGGCATTCCTGCCCTGAATTACTGTCCCCAGTGAGAGGCGTGGACAGTGGGCACCCTTGCCAACGCCTACGATGCTTTCAGGCTGTACAGCTATCAGCTGGGCTGACCATGGCCCTTTCTGTGGAGACGGAGTCGCACATCTACCGAGCTCTGCGCACTGCCTCTGGGGCTGCAGCCCACCTTGTGGCCTTGGGCTTTACCATCTTTGTGGCTGTACTTGCCAGACCTGGCTCCAGTAAGTAGAATTCATAGTTGACTATGGGAAGTAAAAAGCCACTTTTCTTGGGGGAATAGGAGCGGTAGGAAGTGATGGACTTAACTCATGGGAACAGGCTTGGCTGGCTGAGGAATGTTCTGTGCTGGTAGTATTTAACTCCTGGGGAGAGCAGATCAGTGTAGGGGCTCTGCCTGCCTGGCCAAGCTTCAGAGAGTACATGGTTTCTCTTTCTTTGACTTGGCATTTCATTCCTGACTCATGGAGATGCCGGAGGAAGGAGCTACCAGAGGAGTGGTAGAGCATGCTCTGTCCCAGGAAGAGAATAGGGGTGGGTCAGATGAGCTTGTTACAAGAGGGGACTCACATTTGCCTCTTTAGGTGATGGATGGGCTGCCCACACTCAGCCTGTAGGGATGGATACGCTGGCTCCTTTTCCCTCAGCTCCATGAGGCTTCCTCTTCTCATTCTAGGTCTGTTCTCCTGGCACCCTGTTCTTATGTCTCTGGCTGTAAGTAGTGGATCTGGGTAGCTTTAGGGGTAGAGTGTGAGCAAAGGTGGTGACCCTCAGAATTCTTGAAGGCATTTATTTATTATTATTTATTATTAAAAGGCCAGTTTAGTGGAGTTGCATGTTCCAACTACTGCCTCTGACATATATCCAAGGCTTGAAAAACGGAAGACCCAGGACAGATCGGTGAAGCTCACCCAAGCACAAAATGAGGCTTCTCTCACCTCCAGCCAGGAAGCTGAGAGATTGCATTTAGGGATTGCTGTCCTTGAAAACCTTAATTTATGGTGATGCATCTACTTTTCCCTGAAACAGTGCACCCATGTGGACAGCTCTTGCCAAGAAATTGTATCCAGCCTCATGGGAGGCAAACAAAGCTGTGAATCATTTATAACTGCCACGTCTCAAACCTTGTTTGCTGGGTAATGTAGCAGAGGTGACATTTCAGAAAAGTACCTAGGAAGAAGTCTAGAGGCAGCTGTCCCTAGCTGCTCAGGGCAGACATTTTGCCCCACACAGGGCCTTCCACGTCTCACCAAATGCAGCGTTTGTCCTTGGGGAAGGGGATGAAGGGGGATGGGGCCAAGTGCACCCGCTTGGAGGGTTGTCTGAAGTGCTTATGACATCCTCACCTGAGTCTCTCTGTCTCCTTAGTTCTCCTTCCTGATGACTGAGGCGCTCCTCATGTTTTCTCCGGAGAGTTCACTGCTGCGTTCCCTCTCACGGAAGGTCCGGGCACGCTGCCACTGGGTGCTTCAGCTGCTAGCCCTACTCTGTGCTCTGCTGGGTCTAGGTCTCGTCATCCTCCACAAAGAGCAGCTTGGCAAAGCGCACCTGGCCACTCGACATGGGCAGGCAGGGCTCTTAGCGGTGCTGTGGGCAGGTCTGCAGTGTTCAGGGGGTGTGGGGCTGCTCTACCCCAAGTTGCTGCCTCGATGGCCCCTGGCAAAGCTGAAACTCTACCATGCCACTTCTGGGTTGGTGGGCTACCTGCTGGGCAGTGCCAGCCTCCTGTTGGGCATGTGCTCACTCTGGTTCACTGCTGCTGTCACTGGCGTTGCCTGGTACCTGGCTGTGCTGTGCCCCGTCCTCACCAGTTTGGTAATCATGAACCAAGTGAGCAATGCCTACCTGTACCGCAAGAGGATCCAACCATGAGCACTTCCCGGCCATAAGGAAGCCTGGCTTTGCATCTCAGCGTAGGACCTGGGGCTGGGAGCCTGCCTGACACTCTTAGCTGATGGGCTCAGGGGACACTTCAGGTACTAGGGCACTCAGGGGTGGACCTCTAACATTTCTGCTCCTCGTGCTGGAGTGCCTCCCTTTTCTTTTCTTACTGTCAACCCAGGGGAACATGGATCATGTGTCTGGATGATGTTGGGGTTGCAACACTGTCTTCCCAGCCATACAGCTTATATTTGTACTGGTATGGCCAGAAATCATGGAGAAAAATAAACAAAAAACTGAAAATAAAAACAAACCCCAAACTGGAAAGACTGCTGGGAGGAGCAGAGCATCCATCGTTGGGAGTGGTTCTCGCTAATGCCATTACCATGAGACTGTGGGCCGCTGGGGAGGTGTGGACCCTCTACATGGCGGGCGGGCGTCCTCCCAGAAGTGGGAGGTCCTCAGAAGCCTGCTGCTAAGCTTCCTATGACACCCAGTGTATTGGTAGGTGACAGCTGGAGTCTGGAGACTATGGTTAGATCAGTGATAGGAGATGGTGATGGTCTGTTTCCACAGGTGCCATGCACAGGGCACAACTCAGAAGTTGAACCATAGTTGGTTATGGTGGCAGGTGGATCTCTGTGAACTCAAGACCAGCCTGGTCAACAAAGTGAGTTCCAGGCCAGCTAAAGCTACAATGGTAAGACCCTGTCTGGAAAAAGAAAGCTGAATCATGAACAAGAAAAACTTTCTTTTTGATTTTGAGACAAGGTTTCATGTTTCTCACGTGGGCTTTGAGCTTGCTGTGGCCAAGGATGATGGTTTAACCTCAGATCCTCCTGCCTCCACCTTTGAGTACTGGGATTATAGGTATGTACATGTATACCGTGTGTGTGTGTGTGTGTGTGTGTGTGTGTGTGTGTGTGTGTGTGTGTGTGTGTATACACACCATGCTCCTCTTATGCAGTGCTGGGACTCAAACCCAGAGCTTTTAAATGCTAAGCAAGCTCTACCAACTGAGCTCCACCTCCAGCCTCAGGTTTTTGTTTGTTTGAGACAGGGATTCTAGGCGTGTGCCACCACGTCCTGCCTAAGACGGCTGCTTATGGTGGAAAGGCCTGCCTTCAACTGTCAGGTCCTCTAGCACAGAGCCTTTCTAACCGAGTGAGGAGACAAGAGGAGTAAGGGACTGAGGTAGCAGCTCTGACAAGATTGCTTAGAAGCTGCAGCAAATAGTAAAAGAAGAGGTGGGGGCAGTGGGTTCTTAGCCAGGTGGAGTTGCCATGGAACTGAGCCCCAGGACCCAGAAAACACACTGAGTTGCATTTGATAAGCACAAGAGGGCTGCACAAGGTGGCCTGACAGAGCCCAAGAGCCACACCTCAAAGAACCGCTTTATTGACACTGAGGCTGGGCTGGCTGCCCGCTCAGGTGGTCCTGTAGAAAATACCTGGGAGTTGTGGCGGCTCTGGCTAGACAGTCACTGCCACAGGAGAAGGGCACAAGAACCCTGACAAGAATGCAGTCTGGGGGTGGGCAGAGATGTGCAGACCCACACTGGCCGGGCCCCCAGAACAGTTTTGGCAAATACAAATCCTTGCCTTGGCTCAGGGCTGTTGGCAACCAGTTTCAGATGTGAGGGCTGGCCCCGGAGCTGTGACCCAGTGTCCCTGCAGCCACTTCCTTGGTGAGGAACTGTACCTGCTGAGGTACAAATGGGGGTCTGGACTGGCTGACACTCAGAGGCCCCATACCTGGCATTGTGGCTGTCTGGAGTTGGAACCAGGTAGCAAGGGTCCCATGTAGTGTTGTTGAGAAACGGCAGAAGGCCAGAGAAAGCCCCGCAGACCCTCTTCCCACTCCTCAGAGCAGTCAGTGCCCTGGAGTAGCTGAGACGTGTCCGGGAGGGCCTGGGAGCAGAGGAGCTACACTCAAAGTGGTCTGGAGTTACAGCTTGGGGGGAGCTGCCTCGAAGGTAATGAGACTGGATTCTGGGGCAGTGCCCTTCCCTGGGGGTGTGGAAGCGTTTTCCGAGGGCAGAGGACTGTCCTTTTTGGCCCCAGCCTCCTCTTCATCATCATCCATGCTGGGCCAGACCGACTGATCCTCCACTCTCTTCAGCCGTTCGTTGAGAGCCTTTAGGGCCAGCTGCCTACAGCCAGAAAGAGAAGACATCACACTGGGCTTGGGAGAGGCACACACTCTGCAACCTCCCTCCCAAGCCAACTTCTCAGAATCCCATGGTTTCCCCTCCTCCTGCAGGGTCCAGGAGACTGGATCAGGATCTGCTTTGCCAATCAGAATGACGAGCTCCCTCCCAGCCACATCTCCAGGCTGGGAAGACTACAGCCTCCCTCCCAGGCCAGCCACCAGGGATGCTTCTGAGTTTGTTGGCTAAAGACGGATCGATCTAGTGCTTCAGGGCAGACAAGTGTAAAGTCTTAGTCCCTGGAGATAAGTGCGCACTGGTGTAATGTCCAAGGACAGCCTCATTTATTTTTGTGGTACTAGGGATTAAACCTAGGGCATGCACTCTACCACAGAGCTATATTCCCAGCCCTTAAAACAAACAACTTTTTTGTTTGTTTTTTTCGAGACAGGGTTTCTCTGTGTAGTTTTGGTGCCTGTCCTGGATCTTGCTCTGTAGACCAGGCTGGCCTAGAACTCACAGAGATCCTGGCTCTGCCTCCTGAGTGCTGGGATTAAAGGGGTGCGCCACCACAGCTGGGCCCACTTTTTTTTTTTTGAGGCAAATCTTGCTAATGAAATTGTCCACGCTGGCTTTAAGCTAGCACTTGTACCCCAGGCAGACCTTGAACT